TGTGAAAAAGTGCTAGGTAGGATGACTGGCCCATAGTAAGTGTTCAATTATGTTTATATAAATGAATATAATCCTCCTATAAAACAAAAGAATGATATGCAAATGAACCATCGTTTCACTATACCCACAAGCTATACCCACTAGCCAATCAGGAGCAAGTATGAAAATTAACCCAACCAAGATGGCTATGGCCACAGAGACCAGGAGGCTTGAGTTTCCCTGGTAATGGAGGAAGCTACGCTTTCTGCACACCCTGGCTGGCCTAGGCCTCCACTCAATGCTACAAAGTTTCAATTGTAGAAAATAAATAAATCCCAGATACTAGGGCCTTTGCTTGGGTTGCCGGGGGTGTGGTGATCCCAAGATGGCCACCACAAGATGGCCAGCAGGGAAGGGCAGTTGGGAGGGACCAGGCCTGCAAGGAAGAGCAGTTAGGGGCAAAGAGGCTGGTTAGGGGAGCAGTTAGACATCAATCAGGCTGACAGGGGAGTGGTTAAGAGGTGATCAGGCTGGCAGGCAGAAGCAGTTAAGGGCAATCAGGAAAGCAGGCAGGCAAGCAGTTGGGAGCCAGCAGTCCTGGTTTGTGAGAGAGATGTCTGACTGCCCACTTAGGTCTGATTCTACAAGGATCAGGCAAAAATGGGCAGTCAGACATCCCTCGAGGGGTTCCAGATTGGAGATGGTTCAGGCTGGGCTGAGGGACGCTCCACCCCTGTGCATGAATTTTGTGCACAGGGCCTCTAGTACCCTATACTTATACATCCTTCTCACACTGTTGTTTCCCTTCCTCTCTCTACCATGCTCTACCTGTGCTACAGATAGGAATTAAATTGCTGTTTTTCTGTAAGGAAGCAAATGTCAAGATTCATTTTAGCAGAGTTAAAAAACCTTAATTTTCAAGGCAGTCTCTTCAGTCTTTGAAATAATATATGAACTGAATCTTAGTTGATCATATACTGAGGTTAAATCTCACACTGATTAGGATTTTTAAAATTACTTTATCCTTCACTTTGCACACATTAGATACCAAGTAAAAAATTACTTGGTTGTGTAATAGATGTCATCAAATTTTTAATTTTCCCCAAGCTGAATGTTTATAACTGATATGTAAGCAAGAGCTAGTAGTATACTTTTGCAGAGAGAGAAAATACCCAAGTCAAAGATAGTGATATTTTTATAAAAATTAATATTTTAGATTTCAAATAATAGGAAGTTGGTTTTTGTGTGTGTGTGTGTGTTTTGTTTGTTTGTTTGTTTGTTTTACATTTGTAGGCTTTCTTTTAACAAAGACACTGTTGCTAAGACAAGCTTGGCTGTACATTTATAAGGATCTCAGTTTGTAGACACAATCCGAGCCTAACCAAAGTATTTGGCTTGATGACATTTTGATTGTACAAGAGAAAAAGCTAAAGAGGTCAGGTTTGTTTGTAGTGGCGGGGGGGGGAACAACAACTCGAAAACACGCATAGAAATAGGGACAAGTAAAAAGAAAAGGAGAATTCGGAATAAAGAAAGGACTTGATAAAGTAGAACCAGACAATTCTTTTCAAAGGTCTCAGAAAACCTAGAAAGAAACTGATTGCTGTGGATAAACTGAGCAAGTAGAGCAGTGGTTCTCTACCTTTCTAATGTCACGACCCTTTAATACAGTTCCTCATGTTGTGGTGACCCCCAATTATAAAATTATTTTTGTTGCTACTTCATAACTGTAATTTTGCTACTGTTATGAATTGTAATGTAAATATCTGTTTTCTGATGGTTTTAGGCTCTACAGCAGCGGTTCTCATGACCCACAGGTTGAGAACCGCTTGCAGGGTCACCTAAGACCATCAGAAAACACAGATATTTACATTACGATTCATAACAGTAACAAAATTACAGTTATGAAGTAGCAACAAAAATAATTTTATGGTTGGAGGTCACCACAACATGAAGAACTGTGTTAAAGGGTCGAGGCATTAAAAAGGTTGAGAACCACTGAAGTAGAGGCATATGCAATAAATTTTCAAACCAGTACCCCAAATAAAATAATATCAATGAGCTCAAGAAACAGCACTGCATTTTAACAAAGAAAGTTGAGATCACAAGCTGCAGGGATAAAGCCAATAAAAGGAACTGGGATAACTAGATAAGAACAGCTCTTGGGTCAAACCATCCATTTGTGACTAGGTATTTCTCTCTTTTTATCACAGCTTACTGTAGTTTGAAAATGCCTTCAAAGGTATAAATGAGTCCTTTGGGCTTTAGCAAGCAAGCTCTTTGTGTTACCTGAAGCTTCTATTCTGATGAAGAATGTTTCACTCATCTAACCCTGGACTTCTATCATCCTGTAAGGATGGTCCCTGCAGCCAAGTGGTAAATAGAGCAGTCACCGTGTACACACACATTTCCTGGTACCTCATTCAGAAAGCCAGACAGCTATGCAGGACTGTGACCAAGCAGAAGGAAAATGCGAAAGTCTCCTAAGACTCTGTCCATGGTGATAATATAGCCAAGAAATGAGGATGAAAGAAAGAGGCAATTTAAAAATTATCATCTACCCCAAAAGGCATTGCATTCATAGCACTCTGCCCAATTACATATTTGTTACTTAAATAAGAGGCTGTTGTTCCCATTGTTTGCCCTCAAGTTGTTAGTCAGCTGGTGACCTCATAATCTGCACAGCTGCAGCATCCCGATATGTTGTCATGAAACAGATTGTGATGTCTTAATTGATCACTTTCAGGGGTTACAACTGTCAAGTGAAACCAGTATGCTGATTCTTATTAGTTAAATTAAGCCTTGTTACAGCAGAACCAGCTAATTCGCTTTTGTGACTGGGAAATCCAATGCAAATTGATGAGTTTTGTAGATTAGAACATGTCTAAGTAATTTTTTTATTTTATATCTCCCTTTTTCCTTTATAATATATATATATTTTTAAATTGTGAAGTCCATACCTCCCCAAAATGCTTTTATTATACAATGTTTCTTGGAACAGTAAATTGAATGTAACTTCCCCGCACCATATGCATCTTGGTGATAAGTTGGAGTGTGCCATATGACACACTTGATTTAAATCAGGCATTGATTTGCATGACTCTGAGTGACTTTGGAGAACTGAGCTAAGTATAATGGATGTCGAACCCTACTGCAAGTCGCTTGGCAAAAAGAATATTGTGTTTTTCTTTATCACACAAGAGATTTTAGGCTCCTAGATGCTTGATGATGAGTCTTAGATCAATGTCTGATCCTAAGAGACACCTTGTGTCTCCATTTGGCCATTGGTGAAGTCTTCATTAAGGCACCAATCTTTAAACCTCATTTTAAAGTGCATTAATTATACTCATCTGCTTTGAGGAGACCTATTCTAGCCTAGTGCCCGGACCACCTACTGACACCTTAGTTCAGAAATCTAACTGCAGCAGGAATGATGGACAATCCCTTTGCTAGAAATTTTAAGATACCTCATAAATGAACCTTTGTGGGCTCTACAAGTTAAGTTTTTTCAAAATTCTTAGTTTGGCCTCTCAAATAGGTGATGCCTTTGTCTACCTTGCATAATTTATAGGTCTACAATGAAAACTAAATCAAAGAAGTAAAAATAAATTAATGTATAAATGTTAGCATTCAAAATCCAATGGGAAGCACAAGTATGTTCATCAAAGCACAAGTATATTCATAAGTTTTTTTTAAAAAATAATAGGAAAAAAATCAGATAATAACTAAATGCTCAGCAGTAGGCAAATTTTGGTATACCGTATAATGTAATATTGCATATGCATTAAAAATATCTCTAAGGACTATTTATTAACATGCAAAGGCTTAGTAATTTGAATCAAATAAAAAAACAAAGGTTGCCAAATTATATGAATGGAGTTTTTCAACCTTCCTAAAATAATGTATCTAGAAGGAGAAAAATACAATAAAACATTGTAGCAATTGTTGAATTGAAGAAATATGAAGATCTTTTGTCCTTTTTTCAAATCTTTTATTTTTTATTTCTCAGCATTTTCATAGCAAATCCCATATTATAATAATAATTAGGAAACATATTTTTTCTCCTCCCCACCCCCAAAAATATATCACCATAGCCAGTCCTCTTCATTCAGATCATTCTTCACACACCATTTTTCTCCTAAGGCCTTTACTGATCACTCTACCAACACACACACACACACACACACACACACACACACACACACACACACACCTGTCCTTGTTTTAATTTTCTCTATTTAGCACTTATCTCTATCTAGCATATTTCGAGTCCTAAAACTTGATGCTTAACCTCTAAGAGTCTCTGTTACCTCATTGGTTAGGAAAAGGAGGGTAGTGGTTAGAGTAGCCATAGAGACTGTCTCTGGACATGCTGTCTCTGAGTTCATAAAAGAAGCCTTTCCTTACCCATCCAGAATAAAGGTAAACCCAAAAGCCAGCCAACACAGGGATGCAAAGGAAGATTTAAAGGATGTCTGTGATATTTTTGCTGGCCTGAGACTTGTCTTATGCAGTTTTCTGAAAATCTTTTTGAGAACCTTGTCATTTGCTGAATTTTTCATATTTTCATCAATTTCTACATAACCATTCATGCATATAAGTATAGTATAGAATTGATGCCTGGATATCTCCCTTTTGCCTTATTTTTAGCCATCATCCTTTTTAAAGAGATCAGATCTTTTTATATTTCTTATTTCATTTGAAACTAAGTTTTGAATGAAAAGTCACCATTTAGAGTGGAAAACACATGATAATTTTTCTATTAATTTTAAAACAATACAAGAGGCTAGAAATTAAAATTATTACTTAATTTGTATTCCCTTATAAATGAAAGGATGGCCCTGGTTTGATAACCTGGAGCAGTCAGCATAGGACTGGTATGTATATTTCAGAGATATTCCTACATTCAGCAGGTAAACATAATATCTGAATTTTCTGTTTTCCCAGAGAAACTTGTTGGATAAGTGGGCCTTACTAATTTATGTTTCTTCCCTCATCTTGTTTCTCCTTCTGTTTTTCAGCCTTTGCAGCTGGACTGCGACCTTTGTGCCATCGTGTCCAACTCAGGTCAGATGGTCGGCCAGAAGGTGGGAAATGAGATAGATCAGGCCTCCTGCATTTGGAGAATGAACAATGCCCCCACCAAGGGTTATGAAGAAGACGTTGGCCGCATGACAATGATTCGAGTTGTATCCCATACCAGCGTTCCTCTTTTGCTAAAAAACCCTGATTATTTTTTCAAGGAGGCAAATACCACTATTTATGTGATTTGGGGCCCTTTCCGCAACATGAGAAAAGATGGCAATGGCATCGTTTACAACATGTTGAAAAAGACTGTTGACATCTATCCAAATGCCAAAATTTATGTCACCACAGAGAAGCGCATGAGTTACTGTGATGGAGTTTTTAAGAAGGAAACTGGGAAAGACAGGTGAGTCCTCTGAGAAGCAGCCTTATTGTCCTTTGTGTTGAATCTTTGCTGAGTCCTTTGTCAGCTACCAAATGAATGGAGAGATTTGTCAAACTGACTGTTATGTGCTTTTGACTATTATGATTACTTGATGAGCCAGCAACTCGGTCCTATTAATTCCACCTACACTACCTTCTGTTCTCTCCAATTTGATTGGCTTGAGGTTCCAAAAAATGCTGGATGCTTTCCCAGGATATCTTTCGATTTGTTCTTATTTAGCTCAATTTGCTATTGATTAAATTGGATTTTAGCCAAAAGTTCCTTAACATTTCAAAACAGAAATGTTAAAGAACTTTAGAATCTAAACTCCTTTGCAAGCAATGGCAAAAATTTACCTGAGACCACAAAACAAACAGGCTATTGATTCTCTAATAAGGTTGCATAGCTTCTTGCATGCAAATAGACCCTGTGATTGTGAACACCATCATGTGGTATCTAACATGTTAAGCAGAATAACAGATTGAAATTATGCATTACTTAAAATCATTAACAGTGGATTCTTGAAGAAAATAGGGTATAGATACTACTCACTCAGTTATTTAAAAATCTACTTGCAATTTTCATTGCATCCATTTCTCTGCAGCATTCTATAAACCAGCCTCCCACTTCCTTTTTTTTTTTTTTTGAGGCCTGCCCACCTCATTTTTCCCCTACCCCTTACCTCTTCTGTTTCCTCCCTCTGTTTTCTCTTCATCCTCCTCATTTCCCACATAACTCTATTGCCTGCTTCCTCCCCCCCCCCCCTCTTTAGAAAAGTAACAAGTATATAGAAGTGGAATTCTAAATCAATAGCTCTTAGTTCATATATGCAGTTCTAGTAAAGAACTGCTGAAAGAAAATACTGAAAGTAATTGCTAAGGTTTTAAATTATCATGAATTTTGCTTATTCATGCAGTACCATGGATAAATTGACCATTGGCTCTAATTCTAATATTAATATTCTGACTCCTCAAAATGTGTACCTTTTATTCTTCAATAACCTTATATTGGGGTATATTCTTATAGGGGAGAAGTTTCTGATATCTATCGGTATAATTTCAATGTTGATAATTATTTTAAAACTAGAGGCCCAGTGCATGAAATTCGTGCACTCAAGGGGTCCCTCAGCCCAGCCTGTACCCTTTTGCAGCCTGGGAGCCCTTGGGGGGAAGTCTGACAGCATGCTTAAGCCAACAGTGGGGCATCCTTAGCTCTGCAGAGGAGGAGGGAGAGGCTCTCGCCACTGTCACTGTGCTCATCAGCCATGAGCCTGGCTTTTGCCTGAGCAGTGCTCCCCCTTTGCGAGACCACCAAGGGGGCAGCTCCTATATTAAGCATCTTCCCCCTGGCGGTCATTGTGTGTCATAGCTACCGGTCATTCCGTGGTTCAGTCAATTTGCCTGTTGGCCTTTTATTATATAGGATCTTATCTCCTATTTAGTGTTTTCTACTTCTGAGGACCAAAAATTAACAGCTTCTAATGAAATGCAAGATAAAAATAGCCATTATTCTGTCTCCTTATACTGTTAGACCTACCAAGCAGAATCCCAATGGTTAGATTTGAATCACTGTAGCATAAGCTATTGAAGGAGACAAGCAGTAGAGATAAGAAGAGTAATGTAGGACCATTTCACATAAATGTGACCATTCTCAAGGGGCTTTGGAAATGTTTGGTCTCTCACTACCCCAAAGCAATGCAATTAATTAGAGGTCTTTGGTTATTGATTAGTCACAGTTAGCATTCTGGGTATCCCGCAGTTATATCTATAAGCCCTCGAAACATTTTGGAATTTCAGGGAAGAATTTAGTATGCCATATGTTTCCATGTGTTTATATCACATTGCCTTTTGCTGTGAGCTTTCCAAGAGACAGCACTGCCACAAATGTGTGGATTGTATAATGAGAACTGGGATAGTATAGCTTTGGGGGATGCATTTCCCTATAGCCTGTGATGAGAGGAACTGTTTGTATAGTGGGAAAAACTCACCTGGTAAAATTAATTTGCAGGTATCATTCAGTTGGTAGTTATCAAAATAATTGTAGGGGTAGTAACCAAAATAATTTTTGATGCTTTCTTGCTGTTTTTTTTCACCAAGTCTAATCCTGTCTTGTTGCTTCACCAAATACTACAACCAGACCAAAGAAGGCAACTATGCTAGTGGTTTAGAAATGAGAATACATGATCTAGGTAAAATCTGGTTGACAAGAATTGACCAAAATGACCTTAAAAGCTGCTATCTCTACTCTGATTTAAATCTATGTCGTAATTTTAATTGTTTGGATTTTATTGTCTAAGGATTTACCATAGTAATCTGATGCTCATTACCAAATGTCAAATGAGTATTTTTAACCTTTTAATGAAAGAAAATGTCATACTTATCACCAATGTATCACCTATGATGAAATTTTACAAGTGAAATAATATGACGTCTGACGTTTGCTTCAAAATAACCAGTGAAGAGTGGAAAAGTGAGTACTGGTAGAGATGAAACAAGGTTGGCTATGAATTAATAGTTATTCAACCTGAGCAGTGGGTATACAGAGGTTCATTACACCATTAGTGTCTCTGTAAGTATGACATTTTATTTCATTAAAAGGTTAAAAATACTCATTTGACATTTTAAGAATCTAAAAGATTAAGGTTCTTAAAAATAAACACAATGCTATTGTATTACATAAGAATCAACCACACTTCCTTAATAATGTTATATATTTAGTCTGTTTTCAAACTTCTCCAATAATCTCATTAATATTTAATTTGAATAGTTCATTTGAATCAGAATTAACATTGAAGTCCATGCTTTGTTCAAATCAGGAGGCATAAGGTCTGTACATTGCAATTAATTATGTCACCTATATTTCTCTTAATCTAGAATTTCTAACCCTCTCTCTTGCTCTGTTATTAAAACAAATAAACAAACAAACAAATCACACACAAAAGCTCAATTGTTCTGCAGAGCTTTCCTCAATCTAGATTTTGCTGATTGTACCCAGGATATTTCCTTTGTGTTGGTATTTCTATATTGAAGCTTTATTAGGTTCAAGTTTGTTTTCCAAGACCATTGGACTATTGGGTGACACTTCTATCAGGAGGAATATGTCCAGTTTTCTCTTTTTATGTTAGTTGTTTTTAATAATCATTGTCTAGGTCCAATAATTCATTGGAGGTTGCAAAATAGTGCTATTTGGTAATTTCTTTTTCCTTCATTTGCTGATACGTTTTATAAAGAGAAACTTGCCTTCATTAGCCATTTGGTTACCATGAAAGAGAGTACCAGTTCTTTATCACTTTTAAGATATTGCTTCCCTAACATCATTCAAAAATGATAATAAGTTTATTATTACTAACATTTACATATTGACTTATATACCTATATACCTGAAATATTTCAGATCATTAAAATTATATCCTTATGTTCAAATTATCTTATTTTGTTTGTGGGAATATCTTCAAATTGGTTTTTGAGTCCTTTTTACATGACTTTAGTGGTCTGGATGGCTTCCTTGCTTCCTGGTATTATGCTTCACATTCTTCCTGTGCATATCCTTGTGAAAACCTGGATTCAGATATTTCTCATTTTAGTATTTAAGAGAGCATAATGTTGGTGCTACAGATGCTTGGCACTGTTTGCTCTTTGATTCTTGGTTTTTTTCATTGGACAGAGCTAATATGTAAACAACATATGTTCTATACATTGTTTAAAGGCAAAATCATTATGAGTTCAAACTGGAACTTTCTATTCAAATTCAGAGCTACCCGGCTTTTATTTTATCCCATGAATCTTAGATCTGTTTATTTTTTTTTCTGCAATGTTGACAATCATAGGTCTTAGAGACACCACTGTAAATGCTCATCTGCTTTAATATATATATATATATAATTGATATTTTACAGAGAGGAAGGGAGAGGGATTAGAGAGCTAGAAACATCAGTGAGAGAGAAACATCAACCAGCTGCCTCCTGCACACCCCCTACCGGGGATGTGCCCACAACCAAGGTACATGCTTTTGACCAGAATTGAACCTGGGGCCTTTCAGTCTACAGGTTGACACTATATCCACTGAGCTAAACCGGTTTTGGTAATGCTTATCTGTTTAATCCCACAACACCTACAACAACCTTAGAGTAAGAATAACAGCACAACCAGAAATATTATTACAATAAGCACTTTTAGATTATTTTGCATCAAAGAAGGAATTTTAATGGCAGGCATTCATGTAGGTTCATGCTCACAAGCTGTGTGTTGGTTATGTCCTAACAAAAATTATAAATGTTTTTCTCCTAAGTACCTAAGAGTAACTGGTATGCATCACTGCAGGCATGAGGAAGTCAGGAAATAGGGATGTCCTCTTCATTTAACATTAAATTAACAAAATAGTTGCAAAGCTATTTTGATTTGCCCAAGCTTTTTGGAACTTTCCAGCAAGTGCTCATTTTCTCATCAAGTTTTTAATGAAGAGATTATGTCACCATTATAATGCATAATTTATAGAATTTTTAAAAATTGTGTCCTTACCAGTTAAAGTGATTCATGATAGGTAAATGATTAAATGGAGTTTCTCAAAGAAAAAAATGCCTCTAAGCTAGCTTCTTCAAATTGCCAAATCCTTCCTAAAAAAATAAGCCCCTCTCTCATTTATGGGGGGTGTCATTTTTATTTTTGTTTTAAGGGATTCCTCATTGAGAAAACATGAAGCAGTAGAATAAATATGTATACCATTAAATTTCTTGTTTTTGAAATATATTTTTATTGATTTCAGAGAGAAAAGGAGGCGGGGAGAGAGAGAGAGAGACATCAGTGATGAGAGAGAATCATTGATTGGCTTCTTCCTGCAGGTACCTGCTGGGGATCAAGCCCACAGCCTAGGCATGTGCCCTCATGGAATCTAACCAGCACCTTTTTTGGTACACTGGCTGATGTTCAACCAACTGAGCAACACAAGCCAGAGCTACTATTAAATTTCTTAGAGTGAGTCCAGAC